GTCAGTTTGTCATCGAATAGTACTCCCAAATCTTTAAACATGTTAGAACGATTTGTTCCAAAGTTTTCCATAGTGTAATTGTAAAAGATCGGATATTTTTTCCTGGTGTAAGTTACAATAAAACATTTTAAGAAATGAAGTGTTAATCTGTTTTTCTCACACCATAGAAACAAACTATTGATGTTATCTTGAATTCGATGACAATCTTCAATACATTTTATTTCCAAAAAGATTTTGAGATCATCTGCGAATAGCAGCTTGTTGCAGGTAATGACGTTGCAGATGTCATTAATAAATAGTAGAAAGAGCAGTGGGCCCAAGTTAGAGCCCAGGGGAATGCCTGAGGTAGGAAAGAAGGATCTGGAAACGCAATTGCGGTATCTTACACAATGCTCTGATCCAATTAAATAAGAGTGAAATAGTTTTAGCAGTAGATTTGAAAAACCTAGAAGGTGTAGCTTATTTAGCAAGAGAAAATAGTCTACTTGATCGAAGGCTTTTTCGAAATCGGTGTATAAGACATCCACTTGACCACCACTGTCCAAAACTGCCAAGATTTCTTGAGTAAAGCAGGTTAAATTTGACACTGTTGATCTCTTTTCCATGAATCCATGTTGAAATGGCGATATGATTGTTTTGACGATGGAATATATCCGATTATGTAATATAATCTCAAAGACTTTGACAAAGTTGCACACCAAAGATATCGGCCTGTAATTTTCAAGTTCGCAAATATTGCCCTTTTTAAAAATTGGACAAATGACTGTTTTTTTCCAGACTTTAGGGAATGAATGTGTTTTCAAGATTAAATTATATAAGGGGTATAATGGTTCAACAAGGACAACAGCGCAATCTTTGATAAGAAAACTTGGTATTCAGTCAATTCCCGACGTAAATGAATTTTTTTTTACCGGAAAAGCTTTGACCATTCTTTCACTGTGGTGAATAATGGCGAAAAATCACCATAAATATTATCCAAACGTTCTTTAATTTCTGTAGGTTTAACCCCCTCTTTAGTAAGAAACTTTGTCACTGATCTTACTTCAAGTTTAAAGATTTTGAAAAAATCTTGACACGACGCCACTTGATTGATTACTCTGTACTATTGAACAGATAATTGAATTAATTTTTTTTCACAGGTTTCTGATATATCAAACTAATGAACAGTACTTAAATAAAAATCCCACATATTTTTAAAATAGGGGAGGCCGAGAATTTATGGATCATACTATGAGGGACATGGAATTCTGGGCAGCCTGTTCTTGTCATTTCAAAAAATGTCAATGTAAATGCACCTTTAGCGTCAATATGATTATTTTCGAAAAAACTGTCAAATTAACTTTGAAATATATCAATTGGTTCAACATGCCAGCTGTATCAATTTTTAACAAATCTCGAGCAGTAGTTGCATGTTGATATAATTGAAACAAATTTAATAGGCTTCGACTTTGTCAGTGTCAAAATGAGAAATACGCCAAACATTGAAAGCTAAGCTAATAGCTAAGGCCTGGTTTATAAATTTTGACAATTGTGTGCCACCTCTGCCCAGTTTTCCGTGTCCCCGATGGTACTACGTATTATATATCAAACTGCAACTTTTTGCATGTCCGAAGCCCCTGAAAACAGTTCAGTCAATCAAAAAAATGTGTTATAGAAATATCGTAAAAAAGCACCATTGTATTCGGTTTTTTCCCTCTTTTTTGTGTTAAACATCATAGAATCGCTTGAAAATCCTCACAATGACAAAGTAACGTATTTTAAAGGTCTTTGTCATATTAAATGTTTGTTAGTAGCACAATTTATTTAAATAATAAAGTTTTAATTAACATCATAATTTACCATAAATTAATTTAAAATAATAATAATAACATTTATTGACCACATTACTAGAATACCTAGAAAAGTATTGACAAGGTCAGATATGTATAATTGGGAGGACAAATCAACCGCTTTGTCCGAGCTGCGGTGGATTTTTAGTCCACGACCGAATTGCGGTTAAAAATTTTTTGGCTACCTGGTATCTTATAGACACTGACTGAATTGCATTGCAAAATTTTGTACCTATCTGATACCGTATAATCCCTGACCGAACTGCCGTAAAAAAATTTAGTAAATAGCATGGACATACTAGTTATATATTTATATCAATTTTCAAATAACTTAACTTTTTTGACTTTTCGTTCTTTTTAAATATTTATTGAAAAACGACCCGTAGATCACTACTTACATAGATTTGTATAATCACTAGTTAATGTTTTTTAGTTGCGATTGTAGCTTGATTTGCTATTGATCTAGCCTGTCCAAATGATATAATTTCTGAAATTGTTAAATAAAATCACCGTAAACTAAGCTAAAGTATAACTATGTAAATATTATCTTATTATCTACAATTATGACACGATATTAGCAAACTTGTAGCTTACACATTTCACAAAATTATTCCTTGAAATTTAATTATTTTTGAAGTGAACAATTTTAGATTCTATAAACATAATGTCTACGAAGTACATCTTTTGCAATATCTCGTTTTTCATTTTTATACACGGACTTTATTTTTATACATATTTATAATGATTTATAATTACCAAGATTATACAAGTACTACTGGCGTAGAATGTACCACACTTTGGTCAACTGTACCTGACTACCTGATCCTTTAGCAATTTTTTTACCGCAATTTGGTCAAAATTATCGGTATACCTAAATACCTGATATTTGAGCAAAATTTGCACCGCAATTCGTATACGACCAAACCAACATAATGTATACCGGTGTCTGGAAATTGGCGGATTAACTCTTCAGTGCGCTATGTGGAGTTCCAGGAGTCCCAAAAACATAATTCAAACATTCTTTATGATGTAGATTACGAAAAAAACGTAGTTTTATAAAAGCAAAATTGGCAACACTGCACGCACCTAATGCGTGAATACTTCCGGTTTACTTTCTGATTTCTTAGTAACGATTGTGAGAGAAATCCACCTTTTATTTTTTTTTAGGACAGTAACCATAACAACCAGTAGTCATTAGTCGTTGTACATTATTACATATTAATAAAACAAGTTGTTATTTTTCATCAATAAATAAACAAAAAAAGCATTTATAAGACACTTATAAATTATAAACAAAAACAAAACCAACAAAAGAAAAATCCATTAAAGCATAACCAACTAAACAGTAGAGAAGATGTTCAAAATTCCTGCCTTGTGCATATAAGTAAGCTCGTAATGTTTCCAAATTTTGACCATTTTTTGTGAAAGGTGGGCGGGGCTAGTACCTGCCAAGATAAAACTGATTTTGGCAAATGACATCTTCTAAGAAAAGAGACGGTGGGTGGGCGAAGCTAGTACCTGCTAAGATAACACGGATATTGGCAAATGACATACCCTCTAAGAAAAGAGAGGATGGGTGGGCGGGGTACCAGCTGCTAAGATAAGACTGATTTTAACAAATGACGTATCCTCTAAGAAATTTAATGAAATTATTATATGAAAAGACACAAGGCACTTTCAAATTCTTTCCAAACAGGAATACCTAAAACCTCAAGATTGTTTAAATTTTTCCAAAAAAAAAACAAGGTTCTAAAATTAACTCAAAAACAGGTCAGGTCAGAATTTTTCAAACATAGAACACCAAAGTCCCCCAAAATTCTTTAAAATAATTTACAAAAAAAATTTCCGTGGGTTCCCAAAATAATACACCATGGGTACCCAAACACTGTGGCACTCAAGACTTTTTCAGATTCGTAAAAAATAAAGCACTAAAAACATTGTTAACTGCTTACTCGATTTTTGCTGATTTGTATCTTCGCTTTATCAGGCAAACATTGTTGTCAAATGGAGTTTTATCAAATTATTACAAAAACAACACAACTATATCTTTGTACATTCTAACTGAAATGGTAATTGAACATGATTAAGGGCGACAGAAGTATTAACTACAGGTTTTATTACTAGTTATTGTGATAATGAATGTGTTGTTTAGTTGTTAAACGTATACAAAAGAACCAATTTTAAAATCATTATAACTCCACCAAAATGTGAGAAGCATTTTTTGTATTACTAACTTATGACAACAAAGTCGATTTTATACAAGTCGTTCGGCAGAATAAATTGTTCCGATTATTATATTAGAAACTGGTAGATTTGAAGTTATATAATTGTTAATATTACTACTCCACAATAAATTAATAATGCATGTACGCATGATTATTACAAATTCGTTGTGATATATTAAACGTATATTACATGGTCATTGTTTGACAGTATCGGCAGTTAAGATGATCCCAAAAAAAGAAATATGTTGAAAACTTATTCAATAAATTTTTGTTTCATGGCACTTTCTTTTTTTGATAAAAACAATTTTTTTTTAATTAAACAAAACACCTTTAATACGGCGCATCCACCACAAATAGCATATTTACTTATCTAAGCATAGAATGAAATCAAAGAAACTAAAGAATTATATCCAAATACCGATAGTCAAGGGGACATCGGGAACAAAGTTCCACCAACACTTGATTTTTCGTTCAGTCATATCGTTAAAATACAGATATTGACCGTTCCCAGAAATGAAGTGTTGCAACATTTCTATAAACGGCAAAGGAGTTTCACGTTAGTTTTTTGAAAAATTCTTAATAGGAGGTAGATCAGTAAAAAATATATGTATAAATTTTGTACAAGAAACCATCAATTAAATTTTATTGTTGTGTTTCATAAATGTAAAACCAAAGTTTTTTGATTAAGACAAGCAGAAAAGTAGTCTTTAATTTCTAAACAAAAATTGAAAAAAAAAATAGGAGCAGGACAAAAAAATTAAGAAATTCAAACATCATATACGTTACTTTCATGATTTTAGCATATTTTATTAAATTAGTCTAACTGTGCATTAACTAACTACTTCGTCACGAACGCTGTTTACAGCTGATAAATTTAGATAAATAAATGCTATAACTTGTTCCCACAATAAAATTATTAATGTAATCAACTTATTTTTATTACAAGACTGGAAGAACCTAGGCCCCAATCATTCTTAGCTCTTCAGCCAAAGGAAGAATTTCCAGAACCATCCGCCGCAACAATTTTGCCACTAACTCTATCAGAAGAACCACCTAGAAAACAACCAGCAAGAGTACCAACGTCTACTTCTTCATCTGAACCGGAAGTCGCTCCGGTGACAATAACAGTAGAAGCTCTCATTCATGCACCCGCAGATATAACAATACCACCGGCAGGTCCACCAAGAGTACGAGGGCGCCGTGCACCGACCCAGCCTTCTGAAATTATAAGCGAAATCGTACCAGTTAGTGAAATCACACAGGTACCGACAGAAGAAGTGCTTGCCGTTCCACAAGAACAAAGAGTTTCAATAGAATTAACAGAAAGAGTGCGACCGCGTTCGGTTGTGGTAGCGATGCAGGAGGAGGCTGTGACGCAAAGAGATAAAAAGGTAAATGGCCAAGATAATGGTAAGTAGATTGTCACATTTCCATTGTTTTTATCCCTCATAATTCCTAAGATTGCTACTCGTAAGGAGAAAATAGATAAAGATCTAAAAAAAATATTAATTTCGATTAAACCTAGACGAATGGTCCGAATTGATCGCTGTGAAGTAAGTCGTTCCTGTTCCTTTTCTTCCATCTTACAGTACCATTTCTTCCCGATAGCCTAAAGAAATAGAATGGATTGACATAAATCCCTGTCCATTACCCCAATTTAAACTAAAAACCCCAAATACGACAAACTTGTTAGATATGTATCTAATTGGAGAACCGATCGATTTACAAATGCGCCACAAAGTCTCACAGGGAAGTTTAGAACGCTCTGCCAGTTTGAGAAGAAAGTCGGGACGTATGACACCCCCTGCTGAGCTTTCTGGAGATGGAAGGGAGGTACCGCCTGTGGCCGAACGAGTCGAGGAATCTTCACTAATTCCAGAAATACGGATTTCTGAAGTTGGACAGGTTCCAGGTGAGGTTTTGGTATCGATTGTTGAAGAGCAAGTGATGATTGAAACTCCTAAAGTTGCTACCGAAAGTCGAGTGGAAGTGATTCCGCCGTTGATGGCGTCCACACCTGTGAGAAGAAAAAGCACCGAAATAGAGTGAGTAGTGTCATTGTCTAACTTTATTATTAACTAGAATATGGTAATCTTCGACTTCAAATGATTATAGACAAAAAACTATCGAAGAAGTGATGGCTGCACCAGCAGAAGAACATCTGCTAGAGTCTCCTAGAAAGAAACGAAGGCTTTTGTGAGTTTTCTTTTTGTTTTGTTGGATGTAACTATGTTTTTTATTTTAATAGCCTTGAGGTTGAAGCCCAGCCTGAAGATCTAGATTTTATAACTATACCGAGTGAGATAATATCGCGCGAATTAACATCTGAGGCTGCTTTGTTTACTCAGGAATCCTTTGACTCTGTACCATTGCCTTTGTTGACCACTCAGAAGCGTCAGCAAGAAATTGTCAACAAAGTATTCAGTAGAGGACGTTTGACGCTAGAAGAGATTTGTCAAAGACCTATTAATAGACTCAATATTGCCCGGGCTTTCAACGATATTCTCAGTAAGCACAATATTTGATTTTTTAAGAAGTGTTTATTTTATTTTTAATAGTTTTGTGTAAACACCGTTATGTGACGCTAATACCTGAAGATGATTCATCGGAATTCAAGTTCGTGGAAAGGGGATCTAAAATGGGTCATTAAGATTTTTTCGTTATTAAAAATTAAAATTATTTTAATATATATATTTTAATAAGTTAAAAAATTGCTTATATTTTGATGTTACGTTTTGTGTATTATTTATTTATTTATTTATTGTTCAGCATGTACCTATGTAATGTGTTCGTTGTTGTATAAGACTTGGTTTGTAAAATGTTCTCATCACTATTAAATGTTTTGTAAGTATAGGATTGTCTTATTACTGATATACAGGTGTTCATTTTATCTGTTCACACCTGGCAATTTTTGCATAGACAACATACCTATAGACGACTTCGTCCAATTTAATTTTTTTTTAATAAGCAGTCAGCAATCAGAAAAAAAGTGACAAAGATGTCAATGCAAATAATGTTTTCCCCAACACGGCTTTCTAATCGGAAAAAGTGAATTTTTGATCGACACGAATACGTGTAAATTGGATCCATTGTAAATTCACAGATCAGGTTAGGATTTTAATCGTTAACTGGTGCTAACGCAATTTAACAGACATTAGATTTATTTAGATAAATCACTTACTAGGAGATTTCATGGAATTCACTTAGTCAGGATTCAGTCTTTTGTTTAACAAAGGTACGAATAACGTTTCTGGATGCTAATACGTAAATAAGTGTTACATTATAACACTTCTTAATTCTTCATACAAGATTGGTAATAGTTCATTTACGGCACTTAAATTAACAAAATTCATAATATCATGGACTGAGGGACGGGGGAATTAAATATTTCTTTCCTTATGCAGTTATCATCACATCGCCGAGATGTTTCTCTCGCAACGTGCACAGCTATATCACTGAGATAACTTTCTCACAATGCTAAAGACTATATTACCGAGGAGCTTTTCTTGCAACGCCTGATGCATTTTGTATTTATTTATCTTGTGTTTTGTTTGGAATAAGCAGTGCACGAACTAAACCTTGCAAACAAATTGTTTTAAGTAACCAATCACTTGGATCATGACATAATGTAACCTCATATAAATTCTTTGTTTGAATCGTTGATAAATTGTGGCATAATTGAACATCATATAAATTCTTTATTTGCATCGTTGATAAAATGTGCCAAATATTAATCTCATGTAAATTTGTTACCTTTGCAATTTTCACCTTATACAATATTTCTCTATCTCACAATTTTAACCTCAGTAATTTTCTTTGCTCTATAATTTAAATTGAACGTAAACTTTCATGCTCTGCAGTTTTTAACCTCACGAAATATTTGTGTCTACATAAGTTTAATTTCAAACCAGATCTTTTGTTTTTATAAATCTTTGCTAAGTTTTTGTTTTGTAAATATTTTCTTGATTAATGTTTTCATCATATAAATAACCTCAAACTTTGACACTTGTTAAGTTGTAGTTTAATATCAGAGTTATAAGAATTGAACATTTAAATGGAATTGAGGTTAAATAACACAATAACACTTGGTGGAAGATGCGCAGTGCGCTGGGACCCAACCACGAGTTTGCGAACGCAACGGTACTGGGCGACAGTGCTTGAGATAGATAGAATCACCGTCGTGGGTAGGAGAACAGCCACGACCGGGAGCCCCAAACTCCGTTCGTGCTACAACGCCCCCTATGGGTATTGCGATTCGGCCCCCATTGGGCAGCCTGAGGGCAAGTCACGAGTCACCCTCGCTCGCAGTTTTTTTTTCTTTTTTTTTTTTTGTAAATGGAGGAATAAATAATTTTGTGTCCTCCATTAATTTTATGTGTTATTTAGCGGTACTTTTCCAACCTCGAGGTCCACCATTTGCATTGAACGCATCCCGCCATTTTCTCAAAAACACAACGTAGGGTTCCATTTTGTTAGACGATCACAGCCAAGTCCAAATTTTGAATTTTTTAATTTTTCGCGGGATTCCATTTTTTTTTCACTTGCCAGTATACTAGTGCGAAAGCTGGCATTCTTTTACAAGTTTGAGTCTCATCGAATTTTTAAAAAATGGGCTAAAAGTCACAATTCTATTTTACATGGGTAAGTAGTTATGGAATTTGTAAGTTCTATAAATATAGAAAACAAACAATTCATTTTTCAGTCTTTTGAGATGTAGATGATAAAAGGAAAATAAAAAATATATACAAAGGTGGTTTTGGAAACAACTGTATATGTAGTTGATATTACAACGAAATGAGCCTGATACAGCGGATTCTGTTTCGTTTTGTCAATTATATAGTGTGTACTGCTTAAGTTTTTGGTTCTAGACGTTGTTTAACCAACCGGTATAATCGGCCGAGTGTCCAGCGCTAGACGATTAAAGACCTAATGTTTGATTCCAACGGGCATCAGCCTATATTTAAAATATTTGAACTGACTGGGTTACATTGTCTTAAAAATAATTAGATTCGACATAAGCATGTCGCAAATATCTGAAATATCTGGGCATTCCGCTATAAATTTTTAGAACTGAATCTGAACATTAATAATTTTAATGATGCATATTGTTATATTGTTTTTCGTTTTAATTCGATTCACCACAGTTGAGAGACGAGACTGATGACAGAATTTAATTCTGGTATATGTAGGAGTCATTTTCAATTGTCAGTTTTTCTATCCTGTGAGGCGCTACAATAACTATAACACTTTTTAGAAAACTCTAGTTAAATTCATCTTACTAGCGTATGCGACTAATTTAAGAACTACTAATCGGATAAATATTTTTCGGCCACATGTTTCGCTGTAAACTCTCAGGGCATAAAAAGAAACGAAATTATGTATTGTAAATAACGTATTTTTGCCTAAAAGTTTTCACAATTTATTTGAATGGAGATCGTAGGTATTTAGGTAAAGGGCAGATAAACATATGTCGTGCCCAAACAGTTTTGACCGCGGCCGAGCATTTGGACACTAACAAAATTATTTATTTGGGTGTAGACCCATTTCCTTGGAAATGGAAGAGCTAAACTGCATGTAGGGGAAGAGATAACAATTAAACATTTCTAACATTTTGATACATATATTGAAAGAGAGAATTACAAGCATATCAAAAGAATAATTGAGTAAAAATGTAAATGAAGAACGGAGAAATAAAACATGAGAATAAACTTACATAATTAAAAACATGCAGAACAACTAAAATTAACGAATTAAGATCATGCATCTAATTCTACGCCAACTTGTGAATTTAAACATGTAAAGAGAGAGACAAATGAATTTCACTTTTTTTGAATAGCTAACTTGAATGAAAATCGTTTCCGGCGCTATTGCTTATATAGGGATTTTTACCCATTAATCTTGTCTCCCGCGACTTTGGTGGACCATATTTCTTCATGATTTGTGTATTACTTGGAACGCGACTTTAGATTTTATTTCGCTGTTTTATAGGGTTTAATTTCGTTTAATTGTGGCTCCGCAGCTGACGTTTTTTATTGGTTACTGTGTCGTAGATCTTCGAGTTTTTTCAACTTGCGTCATGGTTCCCAAGTTGTCATCGCCACATGTGGTTGGCCTGTTGCAGCTATTGGTAACGACGGCGTTTTTTGAGGTTTTTTATGCGTCTGGGTTTCGTATGCAGGTGTTTTAGTTTGAATACAATTTCGGATGAGAGTAATTGCGATTGGCGATTTTTATGGTGTATTATTCTGTACAAGTTGTTTGCAATGTGTGGCAAGCGCAGTGTTATTTGCAATTTGCGAATACGCGAATTTTGTTCTTGCATTCGGGGATTAGTGGTTGAGTTTGTTTATCTATTTGAATGGTACTATATGCAGATTAGGACATGCCTGTTAATTAATTAAGATTTGCAAATTTTCGAGTTATGTTTTGGGGATTTGTTATTCGTCTTTTTATGTGTTGAAACATTCGAATTTGAATTTCAATGATGGAATCTTTCAAGAACGATACTTAATGTCATTTGTTGTGTAGTATGACATAGTACTTAACTTGAATGTTGAATGCAAACGGAAGAGAGTCAATTCTGTTTGACGAACCTTACTGGTGTGACGCCGAATACCAATGGTATTCGTGGTGGAAATTCTCTGAAAAATCCCGAACGTCGCAAATACTATTTTTCTGGGTATCCCGACGGGTGTACCGAAATCACACCCTCTGGCCCTATTCCTCTCGCTGCTTGTTGACACTGCATGTTGTTGTATTTGCCTTGTCAGTGTATGTCCAAAATATGCGGCCTGTTGATCCCTTTTTGAGATCATGTGATTTTCTCGATGAGTTGGGAATTGGAAATTACTGTCTCGCATGCCAAAGGGCTGTTCTATGTCAATACAACCAGATGCTGTTATAATTATTGTAATTTTGTAATGTGCATAATTTGCTGGTTTGCCCACTCCTCTATAGATAAGAAGCACCTGGCGTTTTGTTAACACACAACGGAGGTTCTACTTCTGTCGGATGTACACGTTAATTTCACGAAATTTGGATCTTTACAATATTAACTATAAATATAGTCACTGGTTGAATTTAATTTGAACAAGATAAATGGAATCTGATCAGGCTTTTTTCGTACCAATCGTTAACAGTAATTCTACTACATCCAAATCTCCATGTTTATAAGCATAATGTATCGGCAGTTGGCCATCCTCATCTGGAACGTCAATTTTCGCACCTTTTCTTTGCAAAAATAAAATTATATTATAACCTCCGGACCCATTTTTGCACGCATAGTGTATTGGTAACTGGCCACTTCTGTCCGGAATATCTAATTTCGCACCACTCGTAAATAGTGACCCCACTACGTCTAAATCTCCATATTTACAAGCATAATGTATCGGAAGCCGTCCGTCTCCATCCGGAACGTCAATTTTGGCACCATTTGTTAAAAGGAATTCTACTACATCTAAATCTCCATATTCACAAGCATAATGTATAGGCTGCCGGCCATCTCCACTTAGAACGTTAGCTTTCGCACCATTTGTTAAAAGGAATTCTATTACATCTAAATCCTTATATTCACAAGCATAATGTATCGGCAGCCGGCCATTTCCATCGGGAATGTCAATTTTCGCACCATTTCTTACTAGAAGCTTTATAATACTTGTATGCCATCTCTGGCACGCATACTGAATCGGCAGCCGGCCAACTTCATCCGGAATGTCCACTTTCGCACCATTGGTTAGCAATAATTCTACCACATTTAGACGTCGATGTTCACAAGCATAATGTATCGGTAACCGGCCATCTCCATCCGGAACGTCAACTTTCGCACCATTCGTTAAAAGGAATTGTATTACT